GGAGCTTGAGGAGGGGCAAGATCTTTGTGCTACGCTGGAGGCCTGCTGCTATGATGACGATGATGAGATCATGGAAGACGTTAACAACATCAACCCCAACATCGACAACAAAGACAATGACAATCTCACCCATATCGCCGTTAATCACAACAACAACAACAACAATAACAACAACAACAAAAGCAACAACAACAACGACGACAACAACGATTGTGGTGATAACAACAATGACAACGATTACCTCGAAGACAGCGACGACACTCTCATCGAGGCTATCAATAGCAACGACAACAAAAACAACAACATCAGCAACGACGACAACAACAACAACAACAACAACAACAACAACAACAACAACAACAACAACAACAACAACGACAACGACTGTGATCTCCGTGAAGATGACGATGACACACGCATTCAAGTCATTCGGGTATCGCCACCAATAACGACGTCGATTTCGCTGGCCTATGAAGACAACAATTACAACATCGATTCCGATGGGAGTGGTCGCTGGGTGCAGCGGGCTCCTCCCACGATTCTTGCCATATTCGGTGGAGGGAGGCCTTTTGGGGAGGGGATCATTTTGTGCATGTTCATGAGTATCTGGCGCTGTTTGTGCGGGCGAGATAGCATTGCGTTGCTTCAATGGGATCCGGGTGGGAGGGTTGCAGGGTAGGTCAGCGGCCTTGGGGAGGCCCGTCATTTACCCTCCTGTGCTATCTGGAGGGGGGCGCTTTAATTGGTACACGTGGAACCCCACCCGCCTGCCTAGGATCTTCCTTCTCTGATTTTGTATCTGAAGAGCTATCCAGGGTAGGTAATGACTTTGGGACTTTGGGATTCGTTATAATTGACTTTCTAACTCTCTTACTTCCTATTCTGAATGCCTCTACTCCTCATGGCGCTGCAAGGGCTTGTTAGCAGATGATGAGGGTTCCAGAGTAGGGATTTGATTTAGATTGACCTTCTAACATTCCGACTTCCTATTCTAAATGCCTCTCCTCCTCATGGCGCTGCAAGGGCTTGTTAGCAGATGACGAGGGTTTCAGAGTAGGGATTTGATCTAGATTGTGATGGGCAGTTAATCCCCTCGACTGAGGGCAATCAATGCTGCTCACCAGTCAATGGAGTGTGCCTACGTGTCGGTAAGTTGATCACTCATGTTGATAGTACGATGGACACGTGGCATGTCAACATGAGCTCTGTTTGTTTACAGACCACCCACTTCTAAACGTTAAGGGATGTCGGACCCGATCTCCAGCAGGTGTTGCTCCCCACCAATAGATGGAGCCTCCCCGAGCATGCTAGTGGTGTCTGCTCTTATCAGCACCCCTAGCATTTACTCGGGTTGTTTTCTTAAAAAAAAAA